TGGAAGGCACTCTCTTTTTCAGCCCTTGTGTTCTCTAAAGTGTTTCTCAACCGGGGGGCATATGGCCCCCAGGATATTCCAGAGGGGCACAGGTGAAAATTGCATAAATGGGGGGGCACAGAACAAGACTAGGGGGCCACAGAAGGAAATGAGAAGTGGCAAAAACAGAAGTGACCAAGGAAAGAAAACAGGAAAGAAAAAAGAAAACAGAGAAGTGAGGAAAATGGAAAACAGAGAAGTGACCATGCTTCCCAAGCAAGGAGATTATTACAGGGTTTCTTGGAAAAGTCAAGCAGTATGTCACCAATATTGGATGTCAAGAATTCAGAGTTTTCCTCTTTAGCAGTTAATGATGAATTGAAAAATGAAATAATGGTGTATGTGAATCATTTGAAGCTGCTTTATAATGATATGGAAGTTTACTTCTGTGATCTGCTGGACTTGGATATTCTGGCCTGGGTAGCCTTCCATGTTGACATGCAGAAGAATTGGTGCTCCCTACCATCTGCCCCAAACCCTCCCATCCATTAGAGAAAGCCTTACACTCAATCGATGTGCAGCACGCCCTTAAGGTATACATCATCTGGACAAAGGAGTTTAAATGTACACACACCATTTGTCTCCTTTCTCCCTACTGCTGCCAGCTAGAATGATTATTGCTCTATGCTATCTTGGTGGATATGCATTTGCATCTTGATAGCCCATGAGTGCCTAACCCAACCTCACAGGCTTACAGTCCACTCAGCTCAGGCCACAGCTGCATCTGCAGCCTTCTCCACTAATGCCCCTATTGGGGACATAGGCAGGGCAGCCACCTGGGCATCCCCCAGCTATAAGATTGTTTTGTATTCCTTGGCCGAGGCTTCCTTTGGCCACAAGCTCTTATAGCAGGGCCTCTAATGTTAGCTCTAATGTTAATTGGGTAAGCTCTTTGAAATCCCAAGCCAGTGTCCCCCATGGCGCCAGTAGGAGATAGTACAATTGATACCGACTCAAAATGTAGACCTCTAAGGCATCATGGAGTCATTGGAGCCACTCCCTAATATGGATTGCAACGTGCTAATTCGTAAGCCCTTTACAAAAAATAGTTAAGTTAAATGTTTAAGAGGAAAGTGGGCACCTGTTATTTCCTTACTACTTGTGACTCCATTGACTGTTCGAGTTTGGCAAGTCCGCAAACCTGACTGGGAGCTGCCTCATGCTCACGGTGGAGTCAGTGTGCAGTCCACTATAAAGGTGTGAGCTGTATGCTGGGAAAGTAAAATAACAGAAGTATTACATTTCATTTTACCTTAGAAAGCCAAATTAATAGGAAATTTATTTATTTTGTAGGAACGAGTAAAGTCTGTATTCCATGCCAAAGAATTTGGAAAAATTATTAATTTTAAAACGCCAGATGATGCTAAGGTGAGTATCGAATACTACTGATCTAAGTATGTTTACTTGAAAATAGTATACAACCATAGTCCTAGATTCAGATAACCAAAATGTTGATTGTGAGGGTGGCACCACGCATGTGTGACGGTAGTTCTCAGATGTCACATTGATGCATGTATAGCCCAGCTGGGAGTCTGGCAACAGCCCCAGAAAACGGGATTTGCCAACATGTGGATTGACTATATAGTTATATACTAATGTTCTATGCTATTAATATTTAGATGAATATGTTGACTTACTTTCATTGTCTAAATTTTCTCTCAAATTTTCATAGTGGGTTCTCTCAAAACTGGAAGAAGTGAGGGAGAACCATCCAAAATTGTGACCATTTGTGCAAGATTCCAAGATGGACAAAACAGAGAGTGCCAAATTCAACATTTTGATTGAAGCTTAGCAAGTGACATTGCTAAGACTATGAAGGGAATTGTTGATGTCTTCTACATAGCCAGAGTAGAAAAAAATCTGCCATGGTCAGTGTCATTTAAACTGTTCTAGAGCTGAGAACCTCTGCCAAATTGTGGCTTACTGAGCTTTTTATTTATAAATAATACAGAGTTACTTATATCAGGAGTAAAAATGATGTTTTCATGCATATTCTGTCACATGATTTAAAAAGACTAAGTCTAGATTAATTTTGTGATTTTATGTGATAATCAGGGTTCCCCCACCATCTAAGCTTTATTTCTCCTGTCATTGGGATTTTAATTAATATGCTATAATTGCCACACTACATGTTAATATAATGTAATTCACTGAAATTCAGTTAAATTCTTCAGGGAAAGACTGATTTAACCAGCAATGCTCTTATATTATGAATGATCTTGCTGATCTGTTTATTCAAGAAGCCTTTTTATTTACCAATATATATATCATGAGGTTATTTAGTTTTTTAAATACAAATAAACAGTTTGTGGTACTGTAATATTATTTTTAACACTCACTTTTTATATGATGCAAAAAATTAGCAAGGTGTTCTGGTACCTCATGATGATGGGTAGATGTACACAGATAAACATGAATTATTGAAATGATAACCTAGGCAGGGATGTGTCTTTGCAGCAGTGCTTTGAATGGCATGATCTTTACTTTCAACACATAAAATTTTCAGCAAAGTCATCGAAACCTTCTAAAGAGCATGTTTTGAAATGGTATATAAACCTAAGGAACACTCTTGAATGAAAAACTTGTTTTGAGTGAGGGGAATCTAAATTTCATGCTCATGCTGAATGCATTGTCATTAATTTAAAAAAATTGAGAACATTCATTAACTTTGGGATGCATCCAACTGTTTTTCTTAGAATAGAGCCACTGAATTTCATGGACGTAAATTAGGCAAGTCTCTTAATTTCAGTGGGTCTGCTCAGAGTAAGACTAACGTGGGAATACAACCCATTTCAGCATTTAGACCCAAAACAATTCATAAGATATTTTTAGTTCTGCATGAAAACAACAAGATTTCAGTATGTGGAGGGTTGCATACACATTTCTTTTAATTTGATTTTGCTAGGCTATACAATAATGCCTATAAACGCACATGTAGATGAAGAAATCACGTCATAAAAGGGAAAAGAATGCAAATGTATGTAAGTGTATTGCCTAATCCAGATTTGACTTGTTTGATGCATGTAGTAAATGTCTGCTCCAGAATATTCTTTCCAAACTGCTGTTTGGAGGATTGAGGTGAAAGAGATTGGCCCTCCTGAATTTGCTGGTGGTACTTAAACTCCTCAAACTGTAGCTTTGTTGTAAAAGCTAAATAAAGTAAATGGCATGCCAAATGTAATTGTATGTATTTATATAAAAGTCTTGCTTGCTCCATTATGTAACCACCTGAGGTGCTTAAAGGAATACATTGCAGTCTTCCCCATAACATTTTATTTCTTGCTATACAAAATGTATATTGAATTAATGGTTACTGGATATGCCAAAATATAACTTGTGTTGTGTCTCAAGAACATGAACGAACTCTTTCCAGATTCATTGGTTTAACTGACAGTCATATCATACTTGAGCATTTACACTTTGAGTTGTGGCCTTAAGCTGCAGACCAACCATACAGATCACTCCTTCTAAATGTGTACAATAAAGAGTGTGATGCCTCCTAGGCTGGTTACACATTATTTTTGTTTGTGCTTATTAGATTTCTGTCCCTGTGTCTGCTAGACCTGTAGAGAAAAACACATACCTGTGCTGTCCCAAATACTGAGTTAAAGGTAAAGGTAAAGGTACCCCTGCCCGTACGGGCCAGTCGTGTCCGACTCTAGGGTTGTGCGCTCATCTCACTCTAGAGGCTGGGAGCCAGCGCTGTCCGCAGACACTTCCAGGTCACGTGGCCAGCGTGACGAAGCTGCTCCAGCGAACCGGCACCAGAGCAGCACACGGAACGCCGTTTACCTTCCCGCTATAAAGCGGTACCTATTTATCTACTTGCACTTAAGGGTGCTTTCGAACTGCTAGGTGGGCAGGAGCTGGGACCGAACAACGGGAGCTCACCCCGCCGCGGGGATTCGAACCGCCGACCATGCGATTGGCAAGTCCTAGGTGCTGAGGTTTTACCCACAGCGCCACCCGCGTCCCAATACTGAGTTGGTTCATGTCATTTTTAAATTTTAGGAATGTTCACACAGTGAAGAGATGCTAATTGAATTACCACTCTGTCAAACATTGTATTCAACATGTTATCTTTCTTCAAACAGTTTATGCTGCATTACTTCATATGAAGGGGTGACATAGCAATAGTGTAAATGATGCCAAACAAGTGGTAGGTCTTAACTATATTTATTTATTAAATATAAAATAAAGGAAAAGCAAATAAAATGGGAAATGAACACTCACTGCCTTTGCCAAAAATGGCCACCAAAAGGTATGGTCCCCCCAATGGAACTGGTGAATGATAGATGCCATTCAGGGGTGCCTTGATACATTTTGGAGTTGAGATAAGTGCACCCTTCCCTCCTCCAGTCACGGAAGCAGTTACTTTTTATAGGCTCCAGCAAAGGGCAGAAGGGAGCTTGTTTTTATTTATTTTTTAAATAACTATGCCCCAAAGTATATAGAAAACAACAAATATTAAACATATTGGTAGCTAGCATTTTACTTATGAATAAAAAATTGCACAACAAGCTGCTGTGTTTCAAGGAAAATAAGATGTATGCCATGTCCTTCAAAGAGGCTTTAAAAACCTAAAGAATTATATAAATATAGGCTATTTTTCATTCAGCTTAGTCATGTACCTTAGTCAAATGACAATATAGCATCCAGTCTTCTGTAACTAAGACATCTCTGGCTAAAAGATTATCAAATGAATTAAATTAGCGGGTGCAGGAAGTATCTATAAATAAATGGCAGATATTTTTTCTTAAATCACCTCAAAACTAAAATTATGCACCTCAGATCAAAAACTGGAAAAAAAAACATTTTGAAAGTGTATACATTAAAAATCTGTAAGTATCATATCTAAATTTCCATTTTTGTTAAGTAAATAATTTATGGTCAACAGGGACACAAACAATTGCTGCAAATACATACGTGGAGTTTTAAATACAATGCTGGGTCCCTGTGGTTTATGCCAGATTGAACTCCTTTAGATTCAGTTGTAGTATTGTGTCTCTGACAGCAGCAAAGACAAATCTAATGTTTTCTGTGTCTGTAGCACATGTAAAATGGGAATAAATCACTTTCTCTTTATCTGTATTCTGATCCTGGTATAACTTCAGAATGAACTCTCTGGCAGCTTTAACATCTTGCTTTGGTCCTGCTCAAAAGCAAAAAATGACACCGTTAAACAGAGAGAGAGAGACTCCTTGCAGTCTTCAAATAAATTTATTTCACTAGTGTGTGCAGAGTTAATTAATTCCAATTAACTATTTTCAAATATACTAATACACACAGGTCCTGCTATCCAAACACAATGCATTCTCAGGAAATCATTTGTTAGGTGACTATTTGCATAACGAGTCAATGATTTCCAGTTATTCCTAGGTAAAAATTTATACCATGTTCCCAACCACAGAATGTTTACCCCCAAATTTTGAAAAACCCCAGGAAAACCCACTGAAACCTTGCAAAAGGCAAGGAGGGAAGGAAAAGGATGCTCTCTTATTTGTCTGATCTTTCCCCCACCCACCATGGTTTTTGGTTGCCATGAACTAGCAAAACACAAAAAGTAAGTCTTGTTTAAGGCTGCTCATTTGTTTACAGTACTACAACTGTGTCTGGCTGTCTTGATATCAGAATCTGTGATGCATGTGTAGCGAGGTTTGGGTACTCATTCCTTATGTTTGGGTATGTAACGAGCGTTTGGACAGTAGGACTTATGTGTAGTAACAAATGCTAACTTCCCACATTGGGAATATGGATGTGCATATAATTTTAATCATTTGCTTGCAAAAATAGGTACCGTATTTTTCGCTCTATAGGACGCACTCGACCATAGGACACACCTAGTTTTAGAGGGGGAGAACAAGAAAGAAAAATTCTCTCCCTCTCTGCGTAGCGCCCCTTCAAAGCGGCAGGAGAAACGGAGCCCCTTCCATTTCTCCTCCTGCTTCGCTGAAGGGGCGCTGCACAGAGAGGGAAAGCTGCACAGCGCCTCTCCAGCGAAGCGAAGCCAGGAGAGCAAGAGGGATTGGTGCGCACCGACCCCTCTCGCTCTCCAGGCTTCAGTGAAGGCAACGCGAAGCCTCCGGAGTGTGGCGGGAGCGCTCCTGCTGCGCTTCAGAGGCTTCGCGTTGCTTTCGCTGAAGCCATGGAGCCTGCATTTGCTCCATAAGACGCACACACATTTCCCCTTAATTTTTGGAGGGGGAAAAGTGTGTCTTATAGAGCGAAAAATACGGTAAATGTTGTCTGTTATAGTGTAGCCAACAACTGGGGCAGCTAACACTTCACATTAAAGTGCTGGTCATTAGTGAACTGACAAAGCAGCTACAATAATTGCTTATCAGATGTAAACCACAACTGGTTTACCTGTGAACTCTGGAAAATAGGTGCTTAAATGGGAATGCATAATCTTCTCTTCTAAAAGGTCTTTTTTATTTAAGAACAAGATGACTGAGGAGTTCAGAAACCAAGGGTATGTGATTATTGTTTGAAATAAAGCCTTGCTTTCTTCCAACCGATTCTGCAAGAAAAGTATGAAATGTTAGCATAGTAGTCTTAAAGAAATTAGTGGGTGCTGATTTCTGCTTGTGTAACAGAACTTCACCTTCATACCACTGCTTACACTTAAAATATGCTCCAGGGGTTTGGGGGACCCTCAAGAGCACATTTTGGGGGTGAATGAGGGAAGGAAATGCAGGGCAAGTCTATTGTGTGAGTGGAACTCTAATCTGAGCACAGAAATGGGGTGCGCAGGCAAAGTGTAATTATTTCATACCCAAAACCTATTCCCATCTATCATTATTTTCTACCCAGACATGTGTTCCAAGTATAATTAATTATAACACTAGCTATTCTTCCAGTGCCGCAAACAAAGTGTAAATGAGCTCCTTGGAGGAAAGGCAGGATATAAATGCAATAAAATAATATGAAATACAATGCAATGGATGCTATATGTGCAAGAATGAAAAACTAAGAGTGTGTCTGTGCCAGAATTTCATCAGGATACACGTACAAAAATTGGTATTGTGCATCAAACAGGAGAGGATGACCATTCTATGGAGAGATGCATTGTGAAAATAATCTGCCACAGTAAAATGCACTAACTGAAATAACCTAGAGCACTCTGTTCTTTTACCTCATTGTTGGATTCTGCCAAGACTTGATCATATTCACTAAGAGCAACCAAGAATATTATTGAAGTAACACTTTCAAAGCAGTGTATCCATTTCCTTCTTTCTGATCTCTGTCCACCAACATCTACCATTCTGTAAATAGAAATAGGAGTAACTTTGTGCAATAAGCTTCCAGGGCACCAACCAAACAAAATAAACCCAACTCAACTTTGCTGTGAAGAAGACCTGATAGCGGAACAAACTATTTACAGTAACCTGAGATGCCGATAAAGTTGCTCCAGGGCCAAACTCAGAAACCATGTATGGGGGTTAACAAAAGCCCACATTCAAAAGGGCCTTTTATAGCCGCCAAACTCTTCAGGTTTAGATCAAAATCTAATTACGTCTGATGTTAATAACTGCAACCAAGCCTTCTCCAGGATGAACTTTCCCCATTTGGTTCAAATTTGGTGCTGCTGTATCCGGCTACTCAATACTGCTTTACCTTGATTAGTAATTTGCATAACCAAACTTACCTAAAAGTAACATTTTGCAACTCAAAAGGATATTCAATAATTCCAGTGGTTGGCACTCTCACTCTGAGAATATCTTGCTCGTTTGGCACAAATGATGGTGCAGCAATACGGTCAAAGTCTGAAAGGTAACTTCCAAGTCCAATACAGACACATTTAGCAAAGTGTTACATGTTGTCATAAACAAATTAACATATGTTGAAATCAAATATTTAAGTAGAAGATTAATTCACAAATAAATGAGAGCTAATAGACCACACAAGGTAAAAGATTAAACAACATGGACACTCTAGATTCAAAACTCAGTGCTACTGTTAATGCACAACTACCATTACACAAGACACTTTCAGCCACAGCGCTCCCCCCACCCCACCCCCAGACCGCCATGTATGAATAACAATAGTGGCCTATTTTCAGTTATGCTATTTACTTTTGAGCTGACTGTATCAAAAAGAAGCTTGTCAATTTATATTCACATTTTCCACACATTGTCCTCATTTACAAAGTAGTAAGTTTAAAACATTTAAGTAAAGACCAACATAATTGCTATTTCACTGTATAAAAACTAAAATCCTAACCCAGCGGGGGGGGGGGAGTGGGGGGGTGACAGTGCAGACCAAGATTGTAGCTTTGTCTCCAAGCTCCTCTCTTTAGTTACTAGAATTCTTTTTTTTGAAGAAAAAAAAAAAGCATAAAAGAATAAGAGACTCAACAATTTCAGACTTAATGCAAGGGACTTAACATTTGCTTTAAACTAAGACACTTAGAAACTATTCTGAGACTAGGAAAATAACCGGGCCTGATAATCTGTTTGATGGAACTGATAATGGTGCCCTAAACTCCAAAACTATCCAAAGATGAAGAAGAGTTGCTCTCTGAGATCACATTGCAAATAACGCAAGAGGATCTAACCGAAATAATTAAACCACCGGAGGAAAAGGTACATGAGGTTGCTGTGCAAATAGATGGGGTGCCTATAATGGAAGCATAGGATATCAGCATTAAGTTCTCGAAAAAATGGAGAGTGCAATTCTTATGCTTGATGTAAGGTTGGAGCAACTGGAAAATAATTCACACAGACTGAACCTGATACTAGGGGAATTAAAGAGGGCTCAGAACAGGAGGACGTGGTGGACTTTTTAGTAGTCTGGTTCAGTAAGCAATTTCTTGAGCTGGGGTACAGCACAGATCAAACAGAAAGCCCATAGAGCCCTCTCTCTGATAAAATTCTATGCAGCACTATTGTGCTGTAGAAGATTGTATAATGAACCTGATCAGAGAAACTAAATCCACTAAAATGCTGGCAAATTATATAAAGCAAAGTATTGCAGAAATGTGTTGAACTGAGTTTAATTTTGGAACAATGAAACAAAAAATGCCAGACTAGTCACTGTAAGAAAGTAATATTATTTAACATATTAAATCCTAAGACCTCCACTATCCTGCACAGCCCCCAATTGCCAGACCCTTGACTATTCAAGCCTAACCCCTTCAGCTGAGCCAAAGATGTCTTGCTTGCCAAGCTCAGCTGTTGAATCACCCCCTTGCTCCCTAGGGAAGTTCATAAAAAACTTTTTTTAAAAAAATGCCTGCTCCAAATGTCTTATCTTACTACACTAGGGATTATATAGCTATCTCTGAAATTTCATGCATATCAGTTAATATCTTGACCCTCCTCCATGAAAATAGCTGTTTACTTGGCCATTTCCTATGGCTGAAATTTCAATTCAGTGGAGCAGGCATTTTTTAAAAAATAATTTTTTTATGAACTGCCCTACTACCCACAGTTCATTTGCTATCTGGATCATGCTTCACTAAGAAACTATAAACTCTTCTTACCTCGAGCAAAACCAAACTATTGTATTTAGCAAAAAACCAAAAAAAACCCCACTCAATTTTCTACTAATATAATAAGAGAAATAGATTGTATGTATGTATGGGAAGAGTAGCTGCTCATCATTTCCTTACCCATAGAAAAGAAAACTAGTAATATTAAAACAAAACTGTTCTTTGTTAATTCATCTACATGAAGAGACAGATGTGATTTCATGACGAAATTTGAGTTACAAATTGGGGCAGGGGGAGAGTTGGCAGTACAACCCGTCATAATAATACAATCTGGCAAAAGTGCTGAACGGTAGCAAGATTGCAGGGGGCTGGAGACACTCACCCTGGGTCTGTGCTCCTTTGGAGAACTGAAGACACAAAGAAATATGATTTATTCACATATTTACACCTTCACTCTGCATGGAGGGATTCCAGATCTTACAGCTGGTCACCTCAAGAGGGGCTTGTTCCCCACAGCAGTGTAGCCCTCCACTCCAAGGCATCTCTCCTCCTAATTCTGCTGTTCCTTATTCAGTTGCATCCTAATGGTCAGTTCTTTTGGTGCTTTGGAGTACTAATGATTAGTCCCCCCCCCCCAGGTGTGACCTAACAAAGGAGTTCCCCTGAGTTCCCACTTGTTGACTGACTAGGATTAAAGACTGGTACACACTTAGGACATTTATCTAGGTTAATTAGCTCTTCAAATGGTAACTGCTGATGCTCAGATGTGGGTCCACACATTCCAATACACATGGGTCTTGATTACATTTTCAAAGTCTGACACAAGTCAGCCTTTGCACCTCAACCCCTTTGCATAACCCCCTTTCTAATACCCATTGAGACTGTCTTATATCCCAGTATACATACAAGTAGGGCTTTTTTCCAGCTGGAACTCAGGAGGACACCATTGCCATTATAAGAAAACAAGGGAGGTGCTCAAGGTGAGTACTGGTACCTCTTTTTCTTGAAAAGTAGCACTGCATATAAATTCTAGTTAAATCTTAATATTTACCAAACCTAAACATTTCAGACCATAGATCTATTACTGTAAGATACATACTATTTAGCCGAGTCGGACAACTGGTATTCTCTTCGCCTATCATAGCATGCTTGGATTCCTGGATCCTCCCACAGCCTCTTAACGGCTTCCACAAGTTCTCTCTCCAGTGTTGTTACTGTGTCTACATTCAGCTCTTCAATCATCTGACCAGCCTCCTGCAGCAGGATGGGGGGGGGGATAGTTAGGGATTTATAATCAATTTAGTCAACATGGAACTGCAAAATTAGACACTGCGGGGCATTCAAAGCTATATAAACCAACAGTCCCAAATGCCAGGTTCACCCTTCATGCACTAACTTTGACCTAGAACCACTCGGGGAAGGTGTGGGGGGGGTGTTGTGAGGGTGAGTGAAACAAAAATACCCTGCACACTGTATATGACTGAATCAATGGGAAACAATGAACTCTTTATGTGATGCATAAATAACATTACTGTTCCTACCTCATTATTTGGATGTTTTATTTATTTATTTTTAAACACTTCTGAATTAGGTTACATACAGATGTACATAGCTTGATGGGAAGGTGTGCTGGGGAACTGCGCTCACTTTTGGTCAGGGGAAGATGAGCTCACCTTGCAGCAGGGGAAAAAATACACTGGTCCTTGTACGTAGGTATATCAGTATGTATGCACTCTATAACTGTGCAAGCTTAGAAAATGGACAGCAATGACAGGTAAATAATTCTGCAGTGGGACAATGGTCTGGACAATGCTTTTTTGTATTTAATTTTGGCCACTGTGACACAGGGATGAAAGTAGGCTTTATTTCACCTGGGTCAAAAACCCAGTTTGGCACCCCCATGTGCATTTGTGTACACACACACACACACACACACACTTGGAGCCTCAATGGCACCCCTCTGGAGGCTTCACCTGGGGCAAAAAACCCCAACTAGCCCTGCCCCTCCATAGCTATGGCTCTGCTGTAACATACCAGGAAACTCTATCAGATACTTCAATCCTAACATAAAAAGAAAGATCAGTCTTGCTGGATTATGTTTCCAACTGAGAGGTCTTTCACATGGTCAGTGGTGGAGCTTCAAGCTCAGACAGGGGCGTGGCTGGCGCATGGCCCCGGGGGCGTGGGCAGCAGCTGCGATGGCACCCCACCAGGATGCCATTTAGTTCTTTTTATTGCAGCACTGCAGAAAAATACCATAGAGGCTTCCTCCCAAGCCAAATGCTAGAAGGTATTTCATGCTGAATCATCGACAATGTGCCTTCTCTTTAGTAGCAATATTCTGTGCACAAACATAGTTGACTATCAGTTTCCAAATATTCTGAATCTTGAACAGCACATTAGATGTTTGCTTTTCCAAATATTTGATTTATTTCTGCTACCACAAGCCAAGAACAGCACACACAGAATCCCTAGTGAAAGATTGATGCTTCTGTTTCAGAAATAATGGTCTGGTTTGAACCATCATTGCAGGCTTCATTAAATCATGGCCTTCCTTCACCCCTACCCTGCTCCTGCCATGTGCAAGGTTTAGAACAAAGATCTTGCTCTCCTTTACATTGCATTTCCATCCTCTAACAACTTCCATCTGCACCATTATCTTGTAGGGAACTGAATGCCATTGTTGTTATTCTCTCTCCACATGTTGCACTAACCATTTTGGCAACATATAGCTCTGGAAACTGCAGAACAAAAAATCTCATTGGGTTGCCTTAAAAAAGCCCTGGGTGAAGCTTCCAGACTGCAGGGGTCAGCAAGGTTTACCGGCCATGGACGATCTCTGTGGGAGTGATCTGGCCTGTGGCCGGTAAACCTTGCTGACCCCTGCAGTCTGGAAGCTTCATCCAGGGCTTTTTTAAGGCAGACTGGCCCAGTGCGATGCCGGAAATCGTTTCTGCCGAAAATCACGCCTGCACAGATTCAATCCGGCCGCCGTGGCAGTATATGTCCTAGGGTAAAATTGTAAAAAAAGCTCAACAACTTTGGGGTTAAAGTTCACTTCATCAAATCTGGCCCTCTTTGAAAAAAGTTTGGGCACCCCTGCTTGGGACCTAAAATGACTAGAAAATTATCACTGAAAGGTTTTTTGAAGGGCTGCTGCAAGCATTACTATACATGTGAATTGGCTTGAATGCTAAAATATTTATGCTAACATATTTACCGTATTTTTCGCTCTATAGGACGCACTTTTTCCCCTTCAAAAATGAAGGGGAAATGTGTGTGCGTCGTATGGAGCAAAGATGCCATAGCCCCGTGACCCTCTCCCGGCTGGAGAGGTGACGCGCGGCTATGGCAGGAACCTCTACAGCCCCGTGTCACCTCTCCAGCCGGGAGAGTGCACGCGCGGGGCTAAAGCAGCCCCCCGCGACCCTCTCCTGGCTGGAGAGGTGACGCGCGGCTATTGAGGCTCCTGCCATAGCCGCGTCACCTCTCCAGCCGGGAGAGCGCGCGGGGGGCTAAAGAAGCACCAAAGAGCAGGTCGAAAGGAACCTGAAGCCTGGAGAGCTAGAGGGGTCAGTGCACACCGACCCCTCTCGCTCTCCAGGCTTCCAAGGTAGCCGCCTGAACGCACCTTAAACGGCACCTTGTTTTAGAGTGGGAAAACAAGAGGGGGAAAGTTCTCCCCCTCTCTGTGCAGCGCCTCCTGCTGCTTCACTGAAGGGGTGCTGGGCAGAGAGGGGGAAAAAATTTTTTTCTTGTTCTCCCCCCTCTAAAACAAAGTGCGTCCTATTGTCCGGTGCGTCCTATGGTGCGAAAAATACGGTATATCATCATCAATGCCTCTATACCTCAACCTTGCATCTATAATATTGGGATAATATTATTGACTTATATCTCACATCCCTTTACTGTTGCTTTTGTTATGCTTGAATAAAAATATTGTGAGAGATGTACTAATTATTAATAGACGTGCTGATTTTTCTAAAGTTTGAATCAATATTTTATTTTAGTATTTAGAGAAACAGAAGCCCCTATCTAACCATCCTTTGCAATCTCCCTCTCCTTTCACCGAGTGCTGATCTAAACAAGGGAGTTTCCTCCAAAGCGCAGAGGGAGCGCTTCCACCGCGCTCCAGAGGCTTCACGTTGCTTTCGCTGAAGCCTGGAGAGCGAGAGGGGTCAGTGCGCACCGACCCCTCTTGCTCTCCAGGCTTCAGGGATAGCCGCCTGAAGCCTTTGGAGTGCAGCGGGAACTCACGCTGAGCTCCGAAGGCTTCGGGTTCCTTTTGCTGAAGCCGGGAGAGCAAGACTCTCCTGGCTTCAGCAGAATGAGAGCTGCGTAACGCCCCTTCAGCCAAGCGGGAGGAGAAATGGAAGGGGCTCCGTTTCTCCTGCCGCTTCGCTGAAGGGGTGCTGAGCAGAGAGGGGGAGAATTTTTATTTTCCTGTTCTCCCCCTCCTATGGTCTGGTGCGTCCTACAGAGCGAAAAATACGGTAAGTTTCCCCACCCCACCCCCTTCTCTTCTTCCCCAACCTTATACTGTATACAACACTAATGTCTCATATCAAATGTAACCAATCTGTAGAAAAGATTCCACAACATGAAAAAAGAGACAATGCATGTACTTTTGTAAGCCAAGAAAACCTTCATAAAATTATTTAATACTGGGACTCATTGCCCTATCCTTCATTTTAAACGATTGGCCAAGATCTTGCCTGCTTTTTCACCGTTTTCCCAATATTTCTGCTTTGTACATGCAAGCATGAATTTTGTTTGCTATGATAAAAGTATTATTTAATTCATATTTCTTTTTTTGTACAAAAACTTAAACAAATGTGAAGATGTCTCCACTTTACTCTTTTCCTTAAAAAAGAACATGCAGGGCTCCTTCCTTTTGTACATGCTTAAGTCCCTAAGTAACCCACTCTTCCATTCTAATAAATAGGGATACATGAGGGCTCTGGTCTAATTGTCTTGAAACGTTCTGGCAGAACATTCTCCACTTAAGATTCTAGTTTCTCAAAGAAAACAATCTAAAACCAGATGCACCTAGTATTTATTCATTATCAAAGAAGTCTTAGCAGTCCCTTTTTCCAAAGTCAGTTGTTTAATTTGTTTTTAGTTTGTATCAAGTGAACATTGGAAGAAGTCACTCCACTTTTATTATTTAGCCATACAATCAGTGCCAGATTCACGTATCAGCTAAATAAGCTATAGCTTAGGGCCCCACTCTCTTGGGAGCCCCCAAAAAATTTAAAGGGGAAAAAACCTGGATGTACATTTCCAAAATATAAGGTAAGTTCAAAAATTACTTTGATAAAATACATATTTTGTATGTGCAAATGGCTTTAGATACCTATTAGGTCCATAAATTACCATATAGCATATATTCAACACAAAAAACAGCAACAATTTGTTGTTGACAAATGGCAGCTGGACATATAAAGGGCCCCATTACCTTCAGTAGCTTAGGGCCTCATCAAAGCTAAATCCGGCCCTGCATACAATTGATTGAATTCATTGTGAACCACACCAATATGTTTGGAAGCTATTTATGGTGGGATTTATAAAAATAAAAATATCCAAAGCCCCTTTACTTGTTCTAGTTTGACAATTACCGGTATATTTGAGTGGTTTTCAAAGTGAAACCACCCAATGGCAAATTATTATTTATTTCCTTAACCAACTTCTTAGTTCCAGTGCCTGACTATCGTACAGCACTCACTGACTTCTTTTTATAAAAACAATAACCAAGCACACAAGACACAAGTCATATTCCTAGATGGGCCTTTAATGTGATTTAATTGCATTCACCCTTTGCTTGAGAGCCACATTGCATTTTCAACAGGCACAAGGTGTGATGCCTCTTAGCGGATAAACACAGGTAGCACTTCACGTTTGCATGCAAAAAGGTCTCAAGAAAAACCTCATAAATTCTGGCATATAATTCTGATTTGTAGGGCAAATGCAAACCACCATTTGCTCAAAAACAGGAGGGAAGGGAGACACTCATGGCATGGATTGGAGGGAAGGCGGGGGATGGTGGAAAAAAGAACCTGCTCATCTCACAGCAAGTTTAAGATCAGAAGCGAAATGGCTGTGGCAGAAAGAGATAAATGGGAAAGGAATGTTCCTGGTCCTGCCTACAATAGCCACATGGCCCCAGACACACTACTGTACCCCTGAGGGAAAGAGCCCCTGCCCTTCCCATCCCCACCCCAAAATTCTCACCTCTGCCTTAAATCCTAGTCTGCTGATTTGCATACCTATATCTAAATCAGCTTAACTTGAGAATCCATCTTAACTTTACGTTCCAACCATACCACTTTGTAAGTAACAATCACAGATATGTATTGGCATTGCTTTTGGCACAAATATTATGTTTCAGTGCAAAGATGCAGAATTTGGAATTGTGTGGGGAGGGACATGCAATTACGCTGTTGAATAAATAACTGGTGTCATTTCATTTGTTGCAATTTGAGCCCACTTTAACTGAAATGTTTTTCTGGATGTTTTAATATTTATTGTGAAATTATCCACCATCTGGAAAGGGTTGTGGAATTCTGGAATGTGTCTCACAGGGAGCATTACTGCCACCACAGCAATTTTCATTCACTTTCTATTATTTGTTCAGATTGATCAACATTTCCCCTGTGCTTTGTATTATCAGGTGTATTCTGGTAAATTTGTATGTTTCAACAACATAGAATTGTAGAGTTCATCTAGTCCAACCCCCTGCAATGCAGGAATCTCAGCTAAAGCATCTATGACAGACGGCCATCCAACCTCTGTTTAAAAACCTCCAAAAAAGGAGAGTCCACAAACCCCAGAGGGTTGTTCCACTGTCAAACAACTCTTACTGTCAACCTAATGCAGATTAGGTTGCAATTGTGTAGTCACTTACCTGGGAGTAAATCCCACTAAACTGTAATAAATGAATTACATATCCCTAAATATGCTACAAGTAAAGATATGAAATTATGAGAGCCATAAGAACAAAACAAAAAACAAAAAAAGAGTTACTCTGTTCTCAGCATCCTTGAACTTCACAAGCTAGTTCAAGCTTCTTAGTCACAATACAGAACCCACACTATCATTCAATGACACCTTACAGATGCCAGACAATTTGTTTCATGATTTCAAACTCTCTCATGTGGTAAGATTGGCAGAGAGGCGACTCTTGATAGTTCTATCACCCTTGGAAGCTTGGAGTGGTGGCCTGGGAAAGGGCATTCTCTCTGGCCACCCCTAGTCTGTGGAATTCCATCTTCAAAGAGGTGGATGTGGCATAGGGTTGCAAAAAAGACGACATATTTGTAGGCGAGTTGAGGTGGGGGAGAAGAGAAAGAGAGTAATAGTGGGCACTGCCATGTTCAGTCTCCTCTGCACTCTGTCGCCTCCACCAGTATTGCTGCCAGCGCTGCGCGCCTCTTTCCCCGGCTCAGGCTGGCAGTGGCGATGGCTCAGCACTTCCAGCCACCAGCCGAGTCAACACCGGGCGGTGCTTGCCACCCACATGAGCCTGGGAGCTCCCCACATGTCAATGGGCAGCCACCGCTGGAAGAGCCGCCCACACCCCAGAGGATGCGGGGTGGGCACCAGCTACGGACCGCACCACTCGGGGCAGCCAAGAGTGGCACACACACCCTTCTGCCTGCCCTGCCCTTCTAGGCTCTGGCACTCGCCCACCTGTGTGCCCAGCTTCCTGCGTTGGTGGCCTGGGCTGGGAGGAGCTCTACACGTGGCAGCCACTGCCACCCCAAGCCTACCCTGCCTGATGGCTCTCCTCCAATCGCTTTCCTCCTTCCAATGACTGCTCTGCACGCTCTCCTGCAGCCAAAGCAGCCACTCCACACAATGCTTCTGCTTCCAGGGCACAGGAAGTGCCACATTCCACCCCTCAACAACCCGCCCCCTAAAAATCCCGGACATTTCCTGAAAAAGGTAAAAAATTGCCATATTGACCCCCCAAAAGAGAACATGTCCAGGAAAACCCGGACATGTGGCAACTTAATTGTATTGCTTTTTTGTCATATGCCAAAGACACACTTCTTTCCTGAAGTCACATGTATATTTGCATTGTGTTAGCGAGCACAAAGACTATGGAAAAGACTGGGGAGAGAAGAGATGCCATATGCTAGATTCTCTGGCCAAGGTTTAAAACTAAGAGCATAAGAGGTGGGGAAGTACATTCAATGAACTGTTATTTTGGGAATTTCAACTGCTGTATTTTCTGTGTTATTGACACCAATAAAGAGTTTAGTACCTTATTATGCTCAGATGAGTATGGAATTTGTAAAGTATCCATAGCTCTGATCATAGTTTGCATAGCGGAAAATATGTTTTGATAAATCAATTTTGTGAAGCCTTTCCGGTCTTCTTCCGTATAGCCTGATCCGTGAATAATCCTCATCTGCTTAATAAATGTACTCTTTCCGCTTTCTCCTGTACCTGCAAGAAAGCACAAGAAGAAAGCGTATCTTTCAAATTAAACACAACAAAGCACAGAGAGCACCAGCTTCACAGCAGCAGAAGAGAAGAATCAACAAATTCTCTTGATGTATCAAAATCAAGTTATGCACACAATGGTCTGTGTAAGCGTGATATTTGTAAATAAATTAAGTGAGCACTAAAAGTAGTTCATAAAACACCCATATAGACAATATTAAACAAAATAATAAAATATTAATATGCATATATGTCACCATAAACTTTGATTAAACACAATACCAATAAAATTTCCTGATTGACACCCAAAAGCCTGGCGAAACATTCCTATGCCCTGCTTGCTGTGCATCTTGAGGAAGAAGATTCCTTAGGAAAGGCCCATTTAGAGAAAGCTCCAGTTACAGAGAAGGCTCCTAAGAGTGCTGCTGCTCCCCTCACAGACATGTCTCCTGACATAAGAGAAAGGGAGGTGGTTTTTGCCAGTACCCCCCTCCTGCTGCAGCCCCCTCCCCAAAAAAATCTGTCCAAGAGGATTAGCAGACCCTCTCCAACAGTATGGAATATGGCATAGAGTGCTGCAAATGGAAATGAAAATCCCTGCAGATTCAGTGAGGATCCCTCCCCAATGAGAAACCAAACTTCAGGCAGCTTTTTTCATGACCCCCTGGACCAGAGCACGCCAGGCACTCCTGTCTTCCACTGCCCCCCGCAGTTTAGTCAAACTCATGTTGGTAGCTTCGAGAACACTGTCCAACCATCTCGTCCTCTGTCGTCCCCTTTCTCTTTGTGCCCTCCATCTTTCCCAACATCAGGGTCTTTTCCAGGGAGTCTTCTCTTCTCATGAGGTGGCCAGAGTATTGGACCCTCAGCTTCAGGATCTGTCCTTCCAGTGGGCACTCAGGGCTGATTTCCCTAAGAATGGAGAGGTTTGATCTTCTTGCAGTTCATGGGACTCTCAAGAGTTTCCTCCAGCGCCATAATTCAAAAGCATCAATTCTTCGGCAGCTTTACTAATACATTATTATGCCCATACACACCAAAGAGTGGTAGTACACAGTGTTAATGCCTAATTTACTTGGATCGGCATGAGTGCAATCATATGCAATGCTTCCTGGGATCAGGCTCCGCTGAATCCAGCTGTGCTTACTTCTGACTGCATCATTTCAACTTGCAAGACACTAGTTTAACTTAACTTAACTTAACAGATCTTCAGCCAGCTGAAATGTTAAGCTCTTATTTAGAAATGCAAATATTCTTCCCAAAGAATTACCACAATTTAAAGCTAGTATAAAGTAGGAACCTCCTCAAAGAAAGGAATGTAGTATTCAACCTTTGCTTTGTTATTATTTTCTGATTTATTCTATGCTAATCTGTCATTTACTTGCCAATGCATAGAAAGCTTGCCAATTACCTTGGTGTTCCAGCAGCTGATGTCATCATTCCTGCCCTGAAAAACAACATGAAGTGGTGGTCCCACTCTCTAAGAGCCCCCTTATTCCGAAGTGGAGGGTGGACGCAGTGGCGGAGTAAGCTGATCAGGTGCCTGAGGCAGTGTGTGTGCCCTGCACCCAGGGGAGGAGTCAGCTGCCTGTGGGGGTGGAGCGAACTGGGGCAGGACGCTCCGCAGGGCCTCCGATGAGTCTGCCTGCCTTCTCCCACTCAGCCGCCCTACAGCTGAGGCTGAGGTTGAGGCAGTGGGCAGACCGTTTGGGCAGCGCAAAGCCTGCGGGCGCCCAAGGACTCCCAGGAGAGTCGTGTGGCTTGGGCGCACTGCAGGCCCCGTGGTGAGTGCCACCCGGCATTTTGTCATCCCCCCCAGTGGTGACACTCAGGGCAGCCCACCCCCATCGCATCCCCCTTCCTCCACCCCTGGTTGGAACCAAGGTAGAAAGCCATTTCAGCAGCCCCCCTGCCCCACAGCAGCTATGGAACACTCTCCCTAGAGAGGCTTATCTTCTAAGCACCAGGCATCCTACCAGTTTTTTATGATACTTTTTAAACAGTGGTACAGTGGTACCTTGGAATGTGAACGGGATCCGTTCCGGAGCCCCGTTTGCATCCTGAATAGAACGTAAGACGTGACTGTTTGTCTGCGCGTGCGGGCATGTCGCAATTCGCCGCTTCTGTGCATGTGCGTGACATCATTTTGACCGTCTGTGCATGCGCGAGCGGCGAAACCCGGAAGTAACGCGCTCCGTTACTTCTGAGTCGCCACGGAGTGCAATCTGAAAATACTTATCCTGAAGTGTATTTATCCCGAGGTATGACTGTACCTATATTAATTATCTCAGTCACTGTGGTTATGATTCATGTGTTTTGCCCCATGGTTTTTATTGATTTTGGCACTGTTCTGGAATTGTTATACTTGACTGATTTGTTTGATTATGTTTTATAACTGTTTTTATTTCTTTGAACTGCATGTCCCCCCAAAAAACTCTATTATGGGGTGACTCAGAGGTACAATAAATGAATAAAACCATTATACCACTTCATTGCCTTAAGGCAAGGGGGAAGAGTCATAGCTCAATGGCAGAACACCTGCTCTGGAGTAAGACTAGCCCAGGTTGATTCTCTGGCTGGAAAAGACATTTGCCTGGGATTCTGCATCACCACCACCAGTCAGTGCAGACAGAGCTGACCTGGGTGGACCAATGATCTCACTTGGGACAAGGCAACTTCATGGAACCATAATGCACCAATGCATCTTTTATTCAATCAACAAAGCTCCCAAAAGTCCTATAATTCTCATTGTAGTTCTCATTATTATAATAATGACATTTTTTAGTATAGTGCCTACGGTTCTACAAGCAGTAGACTTCGTTCTTTCCACAAGAGTCTTCTAAGAAAGTAGACGACCAGTTGAGGGCAGAAAAAATTATAAGTGACAGATTAGATGTTCAAGAGTAATGCAGCCAGAGGACACCAGTGTTTCATCTGCCCCCAATAAATTGGAAGTGTGTCTGTCAAAGAACCAGAAATGGGTACAGATAGAAAGTGCCCACACAAGACCATCAGCTCATGCTCATGCCTCACATGGAACAAGAAAAGGTGGGCAACCCATTTTTAAAAAGTAGCGTTGATGGCGTGGCAAAATTGGAACTCAGGACTGGCTCCTAGGCCTTCACCATTGATGTCTCTGCTAGATCACCCCTCGTTTAAACATGCAGCTCCACCCTTACATCTAAATAATTAATTTAACTGATTTTATATGTACTGCTTTTTGTATTTTTACTGTTGCTACAATAACTGCTTTTGTTTCTGATGTTTTTAATCTGTTTTATATTTGTTTTTTGTTTTTTTTGGTTCTCTTTTGTAGGCTATCTTGAAAATCTAAATTAATAACATTTATTTTTAAAAGAAAGAAGGGGAAATGCCAGAAATGCCTGCTCTCACTCTGGCAGTCATGTTATTGCATAAATTTTTGAAGGAAAAATAAAAGACGCTTGTCAGTATCACTACTGACATATTAATCAAACCATTTAGCATTTCCCACATGCCACCACTAGAGGTCATAAAGTACCTCAATGCAGAAGTAAAAAGGTAAAAAGGATCCCGGCCCTGACCATTAAGTCCAGTCGTGAACTACTCTGGGGTTGCGGCGCCCATCTCGCTTTACCGGCCGAGGGAGCCAAGAAATACTGAAAAGTAAAAGATTCATATATGCCATAGCTGTCAACTCTCAGATTTGAAAATAAGGGATCAGAAGCCTCACCTGTCCCGGGGACAGTCTACAGGATATCTAACAATCCGGGATAGCAGCGGGAAACGGTGGGAAACGGCGCTGGAATAAGGGAATTTCCAGCCAAAAAAGGGAAGGTTGGCAGCTATGATATATGTTTTATATCTGCAGAAACATGCATCTCTGTGTGGTCTATAAACTGTTTCAAAATTCAATAATAAAGTGAAATGTCATCTAGAAATCTGTTGTTGAACAAACTTTAAAAGATTCACTATACTTAGTTATATGCTTACCTTACAAAGTGTTTTAAAATATATATAATTTAATTCTTCTCTTTCTCATCTCCCCTTAAGACTGCTTAGCAAGTTTTTCCTTGTTAATCCAGAAATTTGACCAATTCAGCTTCTAATGGGACTTACTGTTCCATTGCGCAGAAGCATCAGAGAGGCTCCTTGAAGCTGGAGGCCAGCGCTTGCTGAGGTAGCAAAATGTGTCTGGCAGTAGCATTTTAGACTGGGCTGCAGGTAACATATCTCATTATTTTTGCCCCCTCTCTTGCTCTATATAAAAACTATAGAATACCATGGACAAGACAAAGCTACAACCCTTCTCTGCATCTCACTTTCAAGTGAACAGAATTATGTGAACCACCACCTGCAAACTAAAACAAAACATATCCCAAATTCAAGTTTACCACCTCACAGAGAGCTAGATTTCAGTGATAACTGATTACAGCCCTGAGCTCATTTTGGCACTTGAACTCATGTGGAAAAAGAACAAAGCTTTTATATATGCTGTGTTCATGTAAATAGTTTTAAGAAAGTGTGTTACTGTGATCTGACCAAAGTGATAAAACTTTGCTAGAGGCAGTCTCATCATTGCACCAACCTGCAGTTATCTTAACAAATATGCCAAGTACAGAGAACTCGCACTTTCCTGGGTGTGCCAATTCTAATAGGAATATAGAACGCTGCCTGATACTATTGGTCCATCTAGCCCAGAACCATCTATACTGACTTGTCGTGCCTCTCTGGGGTTTCAGATAGAAGTCTTTCCCAGCCCTACATACAGTACTAGGGATTCAACCTGAAACCTTTTGCATGCAGCTGCTGTGCTCTAGCACTGAGCCAAGGCAGCTTACCACATTTGGCCCTTCCCAGAACTTTCACTACAGGTTGCCCTAAAGGTGATTACTTACAAAAACAGTTTCCTACTGCAGTTCCTTTAGGCACCAGTGCAAATTATCCCTCAATCATTCTGCTTTTCTAATAAAACACACAATCTGAAAGAAAGGCTTTGCTCCCCCATACCATGACCTCAAGCAGAATTCGCAATCTGCATATGCCAGAGGTTTTCAGCCTTCTTGAGCCCATGGCTTCCTTGACCAACTACATTCTTTCTGGGGTGGGAAAATGCCCTTCGAGCCTCAGAAGCCCAGTTATGTCACCCCTTGCCTGCAGAGCCAGCAGCCCCTCATCCCTTTTCCTTGTGGAGTGTTCCCTCAGGCTCCTCTCCCCTTGTGAGCCAACCTCCCCACTCCACACTGAGGAGCCTCCAGCCTTAGTAGCCCAATGGAAACTGGCCAAAGGTGAATGTGAGGCCAGCACCTTACTCACCTTGGGAGGCTGCAGTGGAGACAGCAGGCGCCGCTGGGCCTGCATGGCGGAAAGGCTCCCTTTTGGCACCGGGCACTCAGCTCCCACACAGACACTGCACACAGCAGGCACAAGAAAGGCTAGTGTGGCGCCTGCCTGCCCGGACTCCCACTAGGCCAGTGATGGCCAAACGTGGCCCTCCAACTGTTTTGGGACTACAATTCCCATCATCCCTGACCACTGGTCCTGTTAGCTAGGGATGATGGGAGTTGTAGTCCCAAAACAGCTGGAGGGCCAAATTTGGCCATCACTGCAATAGGTCCATCCATTCCCACAGCAAGGGCTGGTTTGCTGGCTGGCTGGCTGGGCTCTCTCACCCACTTGCTTGCTTACTCCGAGGCTGCCTTAGCTCCTGGCAACCAGCACCCCGTGGCCAGCCCCAGAGACATCATTCGCCTGCAGAGCTTGTAGCCAGGGCCGCTGCAACAAATAGCCGTGCAAGCCTTTGGGAGGCAGAGATGTGAAAGGGCATCAGAGGAGGAGGGAAGAGGGAGAGCCCAGTGCTGCTCACGACACCCCTGACCATCATTCAAGGCACCCCAGGGCACCAAAGCACACTGGCTGAATACCACTGGCATATGCAATGTAAATCCTAATAGTGGTGGCTCCATGCAGGCTTTGAAGCCCCACCATTTTCCTCTAACACCAAGCAGGCAAGATTATCTCCAAAAGCAACAATAAAGGCCCTTTGCTTTTCCATTGATTGGGGTTCATCATCTACAATGAAGCAAGGTTTACTTTCACTGCACATTTTGATGCAGTACTGTTTTACTGCCTTTTAATGAACAGAAGGGCTGGGCGATATCAGCTTTTCACATCATGGTGTATCGCCAGCCAAACATCACTGTTTGGCGATATACCGTGATGTTGAAAAAACAAGATGCATCGGCCTCTGCCCACAAGACACCGGGTGAAACTACCCCAGCTCTCACTTGAGAGCTGAGGCGGTTTCAGCCAGGCTCGCAGGCTGCGACAATGCAGCTAGTTTGCACCGCTCAGTTGGGGGGAGGGGAGGTTCCCCCCCAGTTGAGACAGCCCCGGTGCTCTCACTACTCACACATAAGTGGGCGGAGCATCAGGGCTCCTTTAACTGCTCACTGCAGAGAGCAGCAACCACACACCCCTCAGCTGAGCAGTTTCACAGAGCCCCCACCCTGCCGCCAGCTTGTGGGAGCCAGTGCTGGGCTAGGGGCTCCTTTAACTGCTCGGCTGAGGCAAAGGCAGCTGCACACTCCTCAGCCGAGCAGTTTAAAGATGAAGAGGGAGGAACAAGCTGTATCAGCACCTCAACGACACAGCTTGTTTCTCCCTCTCCGTTGTACAACGGCAGAGTGGGATGGTGGTTTCACCAGCGATGTGAAACCGCCGCTGCTCCCGAGTCCCGGCTGGAGGAGGGAACTCCTGCATTTACAGCACATTACTTTCTGTAAAGTGTTCCAGGAACTGTGGCTTGTCCCTTATGGAGCTACAATTCCCAGCATCCTTTACCTTTCTTAGCTTTTTATTACTATTAATTTCTAAGTGAGCCTGATAAGAGTTCACAGCTTCCTGCCTGAGCAGTCTATGTGAAAAAAGTGCACACATTATTCTGTGAGAACTCCTTTCAGAGAGCCACTTAGGAACAGGGAAGTAGGGTTCTCCACAGTCTGCCAGTGTTCACATCTGCAGGGCTTCACTGAAGAAGAGAAGAAGAAGAGTTTGGATTTGATATCCCGCCTTTCACTCCCCTTCAGGAGTCTCAAAGCGGCTAACAATCTCCTTTCCCTTCCTCCCCCACAACAAACACTCTGTGAGGTGAGTGGGGCTGAGATACTTCAGAGAAGTGTGACTGGCCCAAGGTCACCCAGCAGCTGCATGTGGAGGAGCGGGGAAGCGAACCCGGTTCACCAGATTACGAGACTACCGCTCTTAACCACTACACCACACTGGCTCTCCAACTGCTACATGGAAGCTGTACAGATGGATTTCTCCCCTCCATCAAAGAAAGAAAGGGTTTTAAAAACAAACCACAGGACCTATGTTTTTGACTGTACATGTTCTGCGGGAATTGAGAGATTACCTAGCCTAGAACATAAAACCATGCACCGTTATTCCACAGTTGCTGGAATGTCACAATGGTGTTAGCATAACCGCATTAGTGCATACCCATTTGGGTATATTCTGCAGCATTAACTTGACACACCATGTGTTGATCACTGCTTAGTGAATATGTTTGGGCAGATTTAACTACACAACAGAGATAGCAGCTGTGCTTCTGAAGAACCTGAAATGTTGGAATGACTGGGCCCTTGTCTGGAAAGCATATGACAATTCGCAGTTGTTCACACTGTTTATTGCATCTGTACCACACTTCTCAGCTACAAAAGTCATCAAGGTAGTTCACATGCACAACCACTAAAAAAAACTAATAAAGGTCATAATATTTGAAACCAACATTTACTGGCTTCCTTCCACGCCCCTGAAAAGAAAAACCCTCATGTAAAAATATTAGTCACAAACAGATAAACGAAATTACGTGAAATATAGGTATTCAAAAATACACACAGAGAGAGAGAGAGAGAGAGAGAGAGAGAGAGAGATATTGTATCAACTGCTATATTCATCCTTAGTGAAGCTGAAAAACCAACTGCGTTTTTTGTTACCAAGGAAACATGTTATAGCTCTCTCTTCATCCCTGAATAGTTTTTTTTATATCTCAGAAAAAGCATTGGTTACATTTATTTTTCTGCTTACAAAAACAAAATGGCTATAGTGAGAAAAGTTGTTACAGGTATGGCGATAATATTTACTCTCTTGCAATAGCTAACTTTTGAAAGAAAAAGTATCAGGTGACCTTGATGAGCTGAAACCATTATGAGAGGCTATCAAAACACTCCTTCTTTCAAAGAGTATGTGAGTTAATCCAGATCATCATATAAAGCCCCTTGTTTGAGAACAATATACCACCCAAAATTCTGCATGGAAAACACTGAAACACTTGAATAGGGAGTGCTTTTAAAAAATCATTCTACCCATGTATAAATTGGGCTCACTTAAGCCAAAATCACAATAATTGCACTGGCTGCCAATTAGCTACCAAGCTAAGTTCAAGGTCCTGGTTTTCATGCATAAATCTTATCCTACTTGGGACCAGAATACCTAAAATATCATCTCACCCATATACACTGTGCTCTGCAGGTGAGGGCCTCCTGTAGTTACCATCTTATCAGGAGGTCTGTTTTGTACAATATATGAAACAGGTATTCAGCGTTGTGGCACCCAACCTTTGGAATCCTCCCCATTAAATACAATGGTACCTCGGGTTAAGAACTTAATTCGTTCCGGAACCTGAAACTGTTCTTAACCTGAAGCACCACTTTAGCTAATGGGGCCTCCCACTGCCGCTGCACCACCGGAGTGCGATTTCTGTTCTCATCCTGAAGCAAAGTTCTTAACCCGAGATAATATATCTGGGTTAGCGGAGTCTGTAACCTGAAGCATCTGTAACCTGAAGCGTCTGTAACCCGAGGTACCACTGTATTAGACAGGCACCGTCTCTGCTATCTTTTTGATGCCTGCTGAAGGTCTCCATATTCCAACAAGCCTTTTAAGAAGAGATTTCCCCCAGAATGCATCTGTATTTGAATTGTTCTTAAGGCATTTCAAGCATGTTTTTATTGCTTTATCATTTGCTTTTTACAACCCTGGACTCCTTTAGAGGGAAAGACAGGATATATATTTAATTAACAAATATATTAGTTCTGAACTTAAGCAGTTCAGCAGACTCTACTTTCCACGCCACTTTCCAGAACCAGCATCTTAAGGATGCATAAAACATCTACCACAATGTTGCAGGAGATGGCATGAGGGTAGCTGTTGATAGAGCAGCTCTACTTTTGGGGCATTGTAACGTAAAGGTAAAGGGACCCCTGATCGGCAAGTCCTAGGCTCTGTGGTTTAGACCACAGCGCCACCCAGTAGATCCAATGTTTAAGGACCCCTGACCATTAGGTCCAGTCGTGACTGACTCTGGGGTTGCGGCGCTCATCTCGCTTTATTGGCCGAGGGAGCCGGTGTACAGCTTCTGGGTCATGTGGCCAGCATGACTAATCCAATCAATTAACAGGTATAGTTGAGTAAAGTACCAATCCCATGAGAATTTGGTGGGGGAAGTCAGAAAACCCTGAGCAGGAGCAAAAGGGGAAAGGCATAACTCACGGAAGTAAAGTGCAGCAGTAAAACTGCTAGCACATTTGCAAAGCTAAGCAGGGTCCAGTATAGTTTTAAATTGGGTGGGGGACAGCATGTTGAGATTCTTGCATTGCAGGGGGTTGGACTAGATGACCCTTGGGATCCCTTCCAACCCTACAATTCTATGATTCTATAAAATCTTATGATGTGATTATATGATGGTGACCCATACTCCTTCATTTGGTTTCCCATATACTTGCTATTTCGACACTAGTATGTATCCTATTAGTTCTTTCAAAACCATTTTCATAGTGTTTTCATACAGGTAAGATAATATTTTATTCATCTCCTGGGCTGACTAAACAGAGCTAGGTGTACAGAATTTACATGTGTATCATGTTCATCCAGGGGACATTATTTGCCTAAAGAAAAATGAGGCATAGTTAGAGCCGTGAGCTTGGTTTTGAAACACCTCTGTTTACTCTCCAACTGCAATCCAGTGGAAGCTTTTCTCCTATAGCTCCTTGTGAACTGCAGTCTTGTTGATGGCATTCACATCCTTACCCGTGTATAGGATTAGAGAATAAGTGCATCTTACACTGGGGTTTGGTTCCAAGGAATCCACGTATACTAAAAAAATGCATATACTCAAACTACCCCTTTGGTGCTGCCCACCCCTGCCAAGGGGACGCGGGTGGCGCTGTGGTCTAAACCACTGAGCCTAGGGCTTGCCGATCGAAAGGTTGGCAGTTCGAATCCCTGTGACGGGGTGAGCTCCCGTTGCTCGGTCCCAGCTCCTGCCCACCTAGCAGTTCGAAAGTACGTCAAAGTGCAAGTAGATAAATAGGTACCGCTCCGGCGGGAAGGTAAACGGTGTTTCCGTGCGCTGCTCTGGTTCACCAGAAGTGGCTTAGTCATGCTGGCCACATGACCCGGAAGCTGTACGCCGGCTCCCTTGGCCAATAATGCGAGATGAGCGCCGCAACCCCAGAGTCGGTCATGACTGGACCTAATGGTCAGGGGTCCCTTTACCTTTACCTTTACCCCTGCCAAGTAAGGCAGAGATCTTAAATGGGTTTTTTCACCCAAGCAGACCTGGAGCTAAAAAAAACTTTTAAGCTTTTTGCTCCTTGTTCCTTGCTGCATTTAATGTGCAGAATTTCAACTGCATATGGTTGAAATTGTGTAAGTCAAATACATGTAAAACGTGATCATACTGTATTTTAAAATATATATCCTGTTGTGGCTCTAACTATAAAAAATATAATATGTACTAAGGCACATACTTATGCATGTTTAGTCATTCTTACCACCACTAGCACATTATATAGGCTAATGGCAAAGAAATACACTGTATAATTCTCCTGCAATCCAAGCCCCCCCAAAGGATGCCAAGGACTGAACCCGGGATCTTTCACTGGCAAAGCACATCTTCTACCACTGCTCTAGGGCCCTTCCTTTTAGTTCTGCCCTAAGAATGTCTCACACATGAACAAACATCTTCAAATTTTTATTGTATATATGCACCCAAACCCATACCAGATGTTTGCCCCCCCCCCAAGTGTCATTACTTTTAAGCGTTTGTTGCTGTTGTTAAGCAAAATAATTATTGGAATGTATGGCTGAGCCGTGAAGAGGCTGAGTCAAAGTCAGCATGCCTCCATCTAGTTTTGCTCATGTAGTTTTTTAAAGTTATACTGTACTGATATTCAGCAGCAGCACCTAAAATTATGTTTTGCAGCCTTTTGCTTGCCCACCCAATTGAAGCTAGCATAAATGAAATGAATTGCTCACATTGACATTTTTGATGTTTTCTCAGTCCCTTAAATCTGTTATGGACTGACCATTTGACTTTTAAACAAGATTTATGCAAAACAAAAGAGCTAACAGGATAGCCATTTTTGTTAATGGAAATTCCATTCTTCCCCTCTGTCACCAAGGACAGGTATACAACAGCATGATATTTGAAAGGCAAACTTATGTCCTTACGGATGTACTATTTAGCATAGACTTCCTAAATCACTATTGGCAATCAACACTTTGCAGACACAGGATATAAGAGAACTTTAGTTTACTTAATTAAATGATTGCAACCAGAGAGTTTACTACCTTCTTACAAAGTCTTTCATGTTCCATGCCTGGTTCCTATGGAAATCAAGATTAGAGAATGCAACCTGGGTGATAACAATATAAATCTATCATTCTCCCTTTAAAGTAACAAGGAAGATGTTCTCAACCACATATCACAAAATATGAAACTATTGTCTCAACGCTTTCACAGAATAGTCATAGAAGCCACAAAGTGAAAAATAACTATTAGATGTTTTCATTTTATGCCTGGCACATTCAAACCCTGCCACAGCAAAAACTAAATAAATAAATAAAGATTTCTAGATCAGTTGGTCTTAGCAGAGATTGTAGTTATACTTCTGAGTATTTTAGCTGTACCACTTCAGATCACTATCAACAATTTTCAAGATTTGAAAATTACCTTGATGGTATTAGTCATAAAAGACTTTTAAGCAAACACAATGATAATGGATTGTATGACAAATAAATGCTCTTGCTTTCATTGATTTTCAAAATAATTGTATTGAGAAATAGAAATAAGATTCCAAAAGATTCAGTCAGGAAGATGCAGCTGCTCCCAGAAAGAGATTAAACTTGACTCTTATCAAGTCAGCTTCACTTACATGATTTAGGAAGTCTCATCAGAACTTTTTAGAGCTTTTGCATTCTTTGACTTCATCAGATACCAGAAGTGTTGACCTCCATTGGCTGATATCAGCCTTTTGCATTTCTATCTAGACGTCTGTCATACTGGCTCTAAGCATTCATTTGAAATCCCAACTTGGGTACATGGGGAATTGTGTTGTACCAGGTCAGACCACTGGTCCGTCTAGCTCACTACTGTCTGTACCAGGAGTCAGAATTCCTTTTGAGCCTGGGGCAGCATTCCTCATACATCAACACCTATGAGCTGCACACCAATGCTTGGCAGGGGTAAAGCCAAATGTAAAGGTAAAGGGACCCCTGACCATTAGGTCCAGTCGTGGCCGACTCTGGGGTTGCGGTGCTCATCTCGCTTTATTGGCCGAGGGAGCCAGTGTACAGCTTCTGGGTCATGTGGCCAGCATGACTAAGCCTCTTCTGGCGAACCAGAGCAGAGCACGGAAACGCCATTTACCTTCCCGCCACAGCGGTACCTATTTATCTACTTGCATTTTGACGTGCTTTCGAACTGCTAGGTTGGCAGGAGCAGGGACCGAGCAATGGGAGCTCACCCCGTCGCGGGGATTCGAACCGCCGACCTTCTGATCGGCAAGTCCTAGGCTCTGTGGTTTAACCCACAGCGCCACTCAAATGTAGGTAGGGCCAAAACCATATACACACCCCACTCACAAACTTACACCCCCAAAACAAGTATTTAGGCTACCACTCCCTGCAGCTCAATTCAAGAGGTATTTCACCTCTCTCTCTGCCACACACCAGGTAGTTCAACTTCTCCTTCCATCCTTTCAGTATTGCTCTGCAGCTGGCCTGTCCCACCCAACTCAATAAACACAAAAATACATTCAGTGCTAGTAATAAAAAGAGAGAAAGATAAGCACTCCCGATTCACTTTCTCTTCCGTACTACTTACCTGGTAAAAAAAGAGTGTCTCTTCTCTTCCTTTTCTTATGTACAGGTCTGAGAGAAGGCCACTTAAGGCAACTCCAGCTGTGCCCACTATCATCATTTACCCCAACAAAGATGGAGCTGACTCAGAAGGTGCTTGAATTGAAATTAGTCAGGCTCATGGAGCAGGGACAGTGCACAGTTTTGCCAGCCTCATCTACTTCCATACCAGCTGAGTGAAAACAGTCAATTCTTCTGTGACCAGTATGGGGCAGGGGAAGAAGCAAGTGTATGCTTTGTTTTGCCAAGCCCAATGTCCCAATGCCCTGCTTCACTGGCCAGTCACGGAAGTGGGGAGAGAAGAGTCTTGCAGGGCATATGGAAAGGCCTGGTGGACCACCTTCATTTCAGGACCAGGCAGGGGCGTACGAAGTGGGGGGCAGAGGGGGCTGGCCACCCCGGGTGCCACTCTGGGGGGGGGGTGACAAGATGGTCCCTGCTGCCCCCCAGCTGTAGAGCGGCTGAGGGTGCGCACAGTCAGTATGGGCACCGCTCGCACAGCGACCATATGGACGCCATGCGTGAGTGGCAGCCCGTACAGAGTGCGCGTGTGTGGCAGCCCATATGGTCGCCGTACGTGGGCACTCTGTATGGGATGCCATACATGTGCACTCTATAGGTATGTCGTGCATGTGTCACCGGGCGGTTCGTCCCACCCCGGGTGCCAGAGAGGGTTCCTCCACCACTGGGACCAGGGGTTCCCCACTCCTGGTCTACAGTGTCATAAGAACAGAAGTTTCTGGAAACTGCAGGATGAGAGAATGTTTGTTGCCCTTGGGTCCTGTTTGTGGGCTTCCCACCAGCACCCGGCTGGCCCCTGTAAAAGCAGGATGTTGGACTTGAAGGACCATTGGCCTGACCTAGCAGGACTCTTCTTGCTATGTGGGCCCCAGTCTGCTTTGAAATGAATGAAGTAAATTGATGGGAAGAACTCAAGTCGCCCTGCTGGAAAAGGGCTCCAGTGTTAAACTATTTTATTTCTTTAAAATTAATATTCACCAAAAACCATCTACTTCATTTGCATTAAACTAGTATAGCAGATGGTTAGTAACCTGCAGTCTGTTTTCCAAAGGATGTGGATATGGGCCGTGCTTTTTTGTTTACATACAGAATACACCATTCCTTGTTTGGAAGACAGTAGCTATTCTTGGCTATTTGTTTGTCCTCTTGCATTTACTAGTTTTCATTCTTTAAAAGTAGTAGTAGTACTATGTTTTAGTATATGCCAGGCACCTTTTTATATAATACTAACAGAAGCTGCTCTTATCTTCCATGAATACCCTCCTTGGATATTGCACTGTCCAAGCAAGTTCATGTTCAGGGATAGAAAATGAGTATCAGATGCTAAGGACACATATTGGGGCAGGGGCAGTTGTCTCATCCTTTTTGGGCAGGCCGGGTGAGTGATAGTTCAACTTTTTAGCCTCCACCAATAGCTCAGTTGGTTAGAGCATGGTGCTGATAACACCAAGGTTGCAGGTTCGATCCCTGCATGGGGCAACTGCATATGCCTGCCTTGCAGGGGCTTGGGCTGGATGAACCTCAGGGTCCCTTCCAACTCTACAATTCTATGATTCAATTGGCAAGTGGTGTAGCTCAGCAGCAGAGCACATGCTTTGCATGTAGAAGGTCCCAGATTCAACCCCTGGCATCTCCTGTTAAGGTAGGAAAAACTCCTCTCCAAAATGTGGAGAGCCACTACCAGACAGGAGTGGGAAATCTCTGGTCCTTAGCTGAATGTGGCCTACCAGTCCTCTTAATCTGCCTAGCAAAATAAATTGAGAGCTCAGACACATATTAGAAGAGCACAACCCATTTATAGCAATCAAAGTCCACATCCTCAACTAACTTCACTAGGACATTTTTGCATACGTTGAGCTGTGGGTACTATGGCTTTGAATCCTAAACAATTATTTAAAACCAATTGCTTAAGAAACATCTAAAACTTCTAGTAATGTTTTATTACCGCCTTGCCAAAACCCACTGTTCTGTCATTTCTGCTGATTGTATACATTGTGCAACCACATTAAAGAACTAGGAAATGACTACATGAAGAGTCTTAAATTGAGAGAGAAATGAAAAGGACAAAGCAATGCGTTATTAAAAAGTTAGTGAGTCCCACTGACAAACAGCGGTGGAGCAAGCTGATTGGGCTCCTGGGGCGGCGTGCATGCCCTGCGCCCAGGGGCAGGACCAGCCGGGGCAGGACGCTCTGCGGGGCCTCCGAGGTGTCTGCCTGCCTCCTCCCACTCGGCGGCCCAACAGCTGAGGGGGAGGCAGCGGGCAGACCGCTTGGGGCAGCGCGGAGCTTGTGGGCACCCAAGCCACTGCATCACTCCCAGGAGAGACGTGTGGCTCAGGTGCAGTGAGTGCTGCCTGGCATTTTGTCACCCCCCTCAGTGGTGACACCTGGGGTGCCCTGCCTCCACTGCACCCCCCTTCCTCTGCCCCTTGACAAAGCATCTTTACATGTATACTCCATTCAACACTGACTCTAAGGTCACCCTTCAGTACCTGACTGTTACAAAGCTGCTGCTGCTGTGTGCAAAGGTAAGGCCCAAACTTAAGCCACTTAGAAATGCTAATGATTAAGTGGCATATAAATGCCGGAAACAAACAAACATAGTCTTTGAAACAAATTTCAGTGCATTCAATGGCATATGTTTCCCAGCAGGTGAGACTGGAGTGGGGACCAGAGAGAGCCAATTGGCATGGGCCTACAAATTTGAGGGGACTTATTCAAATCCCCCTGCTAAAGGCAAAAGGAAACCCTTTGGGAAAGATTATTTAAATGAGGCCTACATTTCCTATCTGGCCTGGGTCTACCAGCTTTGCACAGCCCTGTTTCCCAGTAAGCATTTTCAGTATTGCAGCCAGCCATCCTGACTCTATGCATGGAAGTCACTGCCAAGTAAGTGGGCAAAGGATTCTGCTGTTAACAATGATCTTTTCTTTGACAATGTTGTTTCCATGTATGTCCACAGAGTTATCCTTAATTAACTGAACTTGGCTCAAGCCACATGCATTTGGAAATTTAATTTCTATCTCAACCACCTTTTTCCAAAGCATATGAAAATTGGCTAATGAAATTCACTTTCATTTGGGGCAACAACAAAAAGAGCTCTCTTATTAAGCTTAAGTGAATCAAACTTCACTCTATAGTTCCCAGTAAACTTACAGGAAAAAATATACGGCACAGTAAGTTCTGTGTCTGCAAAATCATCAAGTATCTTCCCAAAAGAATCATTTAAGATTGTAGCTTCTGTAAGCTTGCCGAGCTCCACACGTTTGTGTGACGAGTCAAGGCTGGTCCATACAGGCTTCCAGATGTGGTCCTGCGCAATGGCTCTCTCAACACTGGAGGGAGGCACAGATGAAGGAGAAGAGAATGAATGGGGCTAAATTGTTTTCTGAAACCTCCCAGGGTATGGGAGGAGCAGGCTGGCCAGAGGCAGAGAGAGGCACTGGGAGCTAAGTACTTTACCCTGATGCAAACCCCGCCCCCCATCACCATCAAGAGTGGAGGTTCTCCTAATAATTGGGAGTCAATTGCCATTAAGTAAAGGCATGCACCAGAGGAGATATGGACGTTATGTGGACAACTGTGGATTATCCAGCTGTGTGGCACTGAGGTTTGAAATCAGGAGAAAATTTTACTTGTGTTGGCAGTGGATGGTAGGGGCTCTCTGCTATATTATGGAATTTGGCAGCCCTCTCCCAATACAGTATAAAGTTTAAAGATATACAAGTGAGGATTGTTTGATTCACAATGTAACTTTGATATTTAAAAGAAGATTTGAGGCTGCATGTGGACTGAAAGGAATGAAGGGGGGGAGCCTTTTTGTTTTGATGGATGTCATTGGGAAATTAGAGCTTATCCCCTCCCACAAAAAAGGCTCTGAGGACATGAACTTAAAGAGATGTTGAGATACAATTTATTATTAAGAGGAAGGATATTGGCTTAAAGAAAAATGCTACCTTGGAGGGGAGAGGAGTTCGGTACCTGTGAGCAGAGGCGGAGCAGGGTCTCTAGTGCTGCTGCTAAAGGGCAGGTGCTGCCTGACTGTCAGTGGTCACATTTGGAGAAAAAAGTATTTACCTTTCTAGACTGAGGAAGAAAATGGCGGGACCTTGAAATTTGTTTATTCAGTCAACTAACTGAAAGAAGAGGACTGCTGTTCCTTTGGGATTTCCTGAGAATTATGGGATAGAAGGGACGAGCTGAGCAGAGGAGGAATGGAGGAATGTCACTGGCCTCAGTTGCACCTACTGAGGTTCCAGATAAATTGTAATTGAGAGGTCAGGAGCAAAGGTGACCACTGCCTTGACTTGGTCAAGGTATAAGAGCAGAGGCAACAGCTGCATGAGCATCAACAATCCCTTATTTAGCGATCCCTAATTTAGACACAATCATTATGAACACCCAGAAACTTCATTGTTTATTCCTCAACTTCATTTTGGAGGCTGAGATCTCATAAGCTCCCACACTCCTGTGTGGGTTAGCAGAAGCCAGCACAAGGGCTCCCCCTGGTGCAACAGGGCTTTCCCATCTCCTCCAAATCCACTCTGGAGGGATGGGACAACACCTACAACAGTGGGGGGGGGGGAGAGAAGGGAATCAGTCCATTTGCCAAGCAGAAATGCTGGCACTGACAATTTAGAATGATGTTGAATACCTCCCTATGTCTCTCTGTACCAGTCATCATCATCAAAGCTTTACCTCAGTAGCAAATGGCACCTCCTCTTTTCTTCAGCTCTTGCCACCAGCGTCTAGTACTCTGGCGCTAGCCCCCTATAGTGTTATTGTCCAAAGGAAGTCATATATTACAGCACTTCTGATTGATTAACTAAAGTTCCATTTTTTTCTGTGTAGAAACCTTCCACCCCACTTCACTGCTCTTCATGCTTGTTCCTGGGTTTTCCCATTAAGCTTGCATGGTGGAGTATAGGACCTGCAAGGTCAATGCTGATTGTTAAAATAATAATTATTATAAAATTAAAGAGCTGGAAGGGATCTTGGTGGCTAGACAGGGCTATACAACCCTGTATAGGGGAGTTTTTAATGTCCCAGACTGGTTGGGGCAACCCAGTACAGGGGTACAAATAATAAAATTATCATCATTATCTAGCCCAACCTGCTGTTCAGTGCAGGATCCACAATACAAGCTGCAATTACAGTTTCCCTGGCAGACAGCTGTCCATACTCTGCTTAAATGCCTCCAGTGAAGGAGATCTCAACCTCCCTAGGCAGTCCGTTCAAACAGACTTTGGAAGGTTCTCCTTACATCTAGTCGAAATCTGCTTTCCTGTAACCAGCACTCACTGGTTCTAGTCCAGCCATCTTGAGAAAACGAAAAAATGTCTGCTCCACCTTCTGTATGAAATAGTCTTCAGATATTTGAAGACTACTATCAAGTCTACCCTTGGGGATGCATTCAACTTAGTTCTCCTCTGAGTAACTGAAATTAATGGACCTAAGGTATCCATGTTTATTCGTTTGAATGGATGTAGTAGTAGAACTAATACTGGATTTAACCTTAGCCTTCTTTAGGCTAACCATTAATTATTCCCAGTGTTCTTTGCATAACAATCCTGTGAGGTAGATTAGGCTGAAAGATAGTAACTAGTCCAAGGTCACCGCAATGGGGATTTGAAACTCCATTGAGTCCACATAACATCTATTCACCGCGTCAGAAGGCCTGCAGCTCCCACACCACAGAGGCAATATAAGAACTCAGCCTTAGTGGCACCACTGGAAAGTGCCTGTCCAACTATACTGGAAATCTAATGGCAACAGAGTGGTGAATAAATCATACAGCTACACAACTAGCGCACACAAACTCTGCCCCTATTCCTTTAACCCACTTTTTAAAGCTCACTTTCAAACCTGAGTTAATTGGCCTTCAAGGCCCACCCTGAAGATTATGGAATTACTTAGCCATTCCAGACAGAGTCCAGGGGATGGACTGTTGCTTGTCCCCAGACAATTAGTGAGGCAGCTTCCTGCATTCCGCTCTCTGTATCTGCATTAAAAACAAAACAGGTAGGAGATGTAATGCTAGAAACAGTTCTAAGTGGCCTTGTACAAGTATCTTCCTCTTAGTATACTAAGTTCACTTCCAGACAGTCGTTGTTTTCAGCTGAGCTTCAATCATATATCAGCAAATTCAGGCTGTGCAATTAAAGTTGATTTGGAGGTCCTGCAGAGCTAACCTGCTTCCAAAAGAGATAGAATGTTTTTGCAATGCAGAAAGTGATGGGAAAACACACTGGAAAGTGTGGGATGATGCTTGATGCAACAATGCCAAACCTCGCCACAAACAAATCAGCCAGTTAACAAATTAAGCTCAATGAACAGCCAATGTCATCTCACCTCCCTGCAAAAAAATGAGGGAGATCCCCTGGAAGGAACTTCAGTCTCTGTCTCAGCTTAGAGCAAAGATAATCTAATTTACAAAGTACCCAAGCAAGAATGCAAAACACCATGCATGCACATTAAAGGTAACATCTTAAATGAATAATAAGTAGGTTTATGAATTGCAGTCCAGATTTTTTTCAAATCACTAAAGTGATTTTAAAAAACACTGCAAATGTGCTAACTGTATTGAAAATGCCGTCTGCACACACCCAGAGCCTCGAGCATCGTTTCACCTGTTGCAAGACGGGTTGGGCCGAGCTGTTCTCGCCGGCTCAAGTTATGGAAAAGCAAAGCCGGAATATCCTACAAGCGGAGAGCTCTCGGTGAGCATCCTGGCTGGAGAGCGCGGGAGGCTTTCCTCGCCCCGAAACTCACCCAGCAGCAGCAGCTTGAGCTCCTTGCGCGAGTCTCGCTTGTCCTGGCGCAGCCGGCGCTCAATCTCCAAGCTCAGCATCCTGTTCGCTTTCTCCTCCGAGGATAAGCAGCAGCACTGCCCGCCCATGCCGAGGAAGACTCTCGCCTGCCAGGGACACGCCGAGTCCTGCTCCGGCTCTCGGGCCACGGAGCGCGCGCAGCTGCCGCAGGGAAGGCGCCAAGGCGGACGGGCTTCGCGCGGGTCGCTCTCTGCGCCAGACGCTATCGCCCGCGCAGCCCAAGCCCCGCCCCCGGCGGCGGCCCCGCCCCTGCCCCCGATCCGGAGGCGCTGCTCGGGGCCGGTCGCGGGCTGGGCTTCCTTCGGCCGTGGCGCGCCTGGGGATCATATTTTCTGGGTTTGCAAACTGGAGCGCTAGCTGGGCCAAAGAGGCTGTCCGTCAGCTTCGCAAAAGAAGAGCCCTGCAGGCTGCAGCCTCAGGTGGACCTCTCTCGGGGGCTCTGAGCTGGGGGGTGGGACGACTCCCATTGAGGAGGGACCCAGAAGAAGGTGCCTTAGGCAGAGTCCCGGCATTGGCCCCTCGACGCTGACTGCAGCCAGCATGGTCCAGGTCATGGGAGATGCATCGTTCCTGTAATGTGGCGTCTCTTGAATGATCAGCTGAGAGAGAACTTAGAGGAAAACTACACGGAATGGTGAACAAAGATGGTTTGGGTGAAGCTGACGGTGGAGAAGTTAAATAGTGCTCGGGCGGGGGGAATACTGATGGAGGATTGCCAGAGCAGAAGAATGGCATGGGAATGCTGGAGGCAGTAAATGTCAGCATCGAAAGACCCTCCACACAGGTGTTGGGAGGTCAAAGTGTGGATTTATGTCAGAGGAAGAGAAGGAAACCACGGGTGGAGAGATTAATGAATATACTGAACTGGCAGACGCAAAGCTGAGAAGGAAAGGATTCTGTAAAATCTGGTTTCAAATTAAAGGAAAGTGCTTCACTGACAATGCTTGTGGAAAAAATGGAAGAGTAGAAAGCAGAAGCCATTTTTTCTCTCTGTAAAAAACCCTCAATAAGTAATGATTATGGCTCACAGTCTTAGTATATCAACACAGCAAAGAAAACCCTGTGGGGATAAGGATTTAAGGAAGTATTGTTTCTCAGTATTGGAGGCAAAGCTGGTATGCTGAACTGGAGGAAAACTAATGTTGACTTCCATTGATAACAGTGCTCACAACCTCTTTTGGACTTTTTGTGTGAATGGAAAATGAACTTGAGATGCCCATCATCTAGCAGAAGGAAGAATAACTGGCTGTTATCTTGGAGTGATCATTTCAAATATTTTGAAGAAATTTGTACGTACAATAGGGTTATAACATTTTTGCAACCTCATGTTCCTGAACTTTTGACTAAAAACAAAGGAATGAATTGTCATTTCCAAATATTTTGAAAAAAGGTCACTCTAAAATCAATAAATTGATTTTTGTATATGCAACTGTATATTATGTAATATGCACAACATGTATTATAATACAGGTAAAATGGAGCCTGCAAATTTTCTAATAATTGTACAATGTTTTGTACATTGTATATCACTTCTTATTGCTTAGAATAAATCGAGGCTGCAGTTTGTCTGTTTCTGCTGCAAGCTCCATAAAGTTCCCACATCACTTTGATTGTATGTTCTGTGAACTAATTACTTCCTGGTATCTGAAGTACCGATGGCCCCTGCTTCCATTGATTCTCTAATACCCACAGTGCTTTTTTGTAAGGTTTCAATGTTTCTGCCAAGTTATTGAAGTCATTTTCATTGTACATCTGATTAGTAAACCAATAGACTGCCCAGCCATATGAAACGAGTCTGCGTACTTTCTCCAAAGTCTTTCTTGTTGTAGGTATAAGAATGAATACAAGGACAGTGAGAATGCTCTTGAATTCCACCTGGCATTGCTTTTGTTAGGAACTTCCGTAAACTTAACCAATGGGGAAAAAACAACCACTTTTTCCTCAAGGAATCTGAACACCCATGTATGATAGTATAAAATGTTCATGTCATCTCTCCAGCCTGCTTTACTGAGGATTTCTTCTGTTCCATTCACAAACTTTGCTTTCAATTCCTCATATTTGTTCATCAGTTGAGACATAAATGGATATTCCATATTGGGAGATCTGGTGTTACCACCAAGTTCCCTGTCCATGACCACTCTGAGAATCTTGTCCAGAACATGATGCTGGCAACTGATAAGTGATGCTGGCAACTGATAAGACATCCTTGCCTGAGAACATTCGTTGCAATTTGACAACGCCATTATTTTCCCCAGTGTTAACACTGGTTGTATCAGCAATGATAATCTTTATTGCATTCCATAAGTTGTATTCATCAAGAAGTTGGAAGTCCTTTGTATTTGTATTTTATTCTTTATTCCTCTCTGATCCTTTTTGTGATATTTGTTCCTCCTCTTTTTGTGTTATTTTGTTTTTGTTTTGACTTATTTTCTGTTGCTGTTGTCCTCTACTCTAGATTAAAGAATGAATTGCATTCAGATGAAGGCAATGAATAGTTAGTGAAGGACCCTGTGTGAGAGGCAGGGAAGGGGAGATTCCCCAGGGTGAGAGGCTGAGGGAAGAAAGGGGTGCTCTCAGGTGAGAGCTGGGAGGGTGCACCTTTTATGCATGGGACAAAAGGTAAGTTATTCAGTATCTGTGAGGCAGGAGTTTGCATTCTTCTATCTCTTTTTCTTTTCTTTTTCTTCAGATGAGTTTGTTTTTTACTGTACAGCGGAACCTCTACTTACGGACATAATCCGTTCCGGAGGTCCGTCCGCTGGTCGAAATGGGACACTAGAAGAGGCATCTTGTGCGTGTGCGCTCTGAAGATTTATTGTTCAGAGAGATAAGGTCCGGCAGGCTTCTGCTGCTCAGCACACATTCCAAAGCTCTGAGCAAAGCAGAGTCACACAGCTTTCAGGAACGAAGCCTTCTGTCTTCTGTGCATCGGTGTGCATAAATCAGGCTCTCACGCAGAGTTACTAAAACTAAAAGCAGTTTATTTACAGCAGAATCTAGCCATTATCCAGCAACATCGCACAAACGACAAAAGCGAAAGCAGACGAAACAAAGAACTGAGACTCTCGGAAGTGACGCAGAGTCTCTCTGCCCCACAATAGGGCAGGACGCACACTCTGAGCTGTTTAACCCTGTAAGTTCAGGTTCTCCTCACACCCCCTCTCGTCCTGCACTACTGGGGGCAAGCAAGTATCACCACTTACCCCAACTCCAAACCACCACAGAACTCCCCATGACACTGGAAGCTCAATGGTTTAGCTCAATGTGCCTCAATGAAGCTTTAGAGAAGCTAGGTTTCAGGAAGTGTCTTGCTGACAGCTGCCTGTACCTTAAAGGGTCAGGAGAGTCACAGGAAATGGTGTTAGTCTTTGTTGATGATACCATTTATACCTCAAGGGCAGACAAACAGGTACAGAAGTTTGCCAAAGAGCTCCATGCAATGGGAGAGGGCGCTTCTGAGCCAAACAGTCAATAGCCCTGGTTAACTTGCCAGTGGGCCACCAGGGAATCAGCTGAAAGGCCATAAACATGGGATAAAGCATCCCCTACCACTCTCTGGAAACCATTTGGATCAAGTGGCAGGGGTGGACCATCTGAATCGGTCCCACCTCCTGCAGAGGGGAAGGGTCATGGAGAAGTCCAGTTGCACCAGGAAGTGATCTGACCGTGGCACTTCTTTCGTTTCGCTTTTAGTGTCAGATCACCAACATCCATAGAAGTGAACACCAGGTCCAAGGCATGTCCGCGGCTATGAGTTGGGCCAGACTTATTCAGGGACAGCCCTGTCTCCTTGATCCTTGCCCATCCTGGCTTATAAAAGCTAGCCGGGAAGGGCTGGGCAATGACCTTTGCGGGATGGTGAATGCTTCCCTCCGTGAGGGAGCCTTCCCAGACCAGCTGAAAGAGGCGGTTATCAAACCGCTTCTTAAAAAACCATCTTTAGATGCGGCCAATATGGCCAACAATCTTCCAGTCTCAAATCTTCCATTCTTGGGCAAGATGATTGAGCGAGTGGTTGCTGAACAACTCCAGGCACGCCTGGAAGAAGCGGACCATTTGGATCCCTTCCAGTTGGGATTCAGGCCTCATCATGGGACTGAAACTGCCTTGGTTGCACTGGTCAATGATCTCCGGCGGGTTTGGGACAAAGGTGAGAGCTGTTTCGAAGTTCTGCTGGATCTCTCATTGGCTTTTGACACCATCAACCATAACATCCTTCTGGACCATCTAGAGGAGCTGGGAGCTGGGGGAACTGTTATACAGTGGTTCTGCTCCTTCCTCCAGGGCCATGTTCAGAAAGTGGTGGGGGGGATGAGTGTTCAGATCCCTGGGCTCTCACTTGTGGGGTGCCTCAGGGTTCTGTCCTCTCCCCCATGCTTTCCAACACCTACATGCAGCCGCTAGGAGAGATCATCAGGGGGTTTGGGCTGGGTGTTCATCAGTATGCAGATGATACCCAGCTCTACCTCTCTTTCAAATCAGAACCAGTGAAGGCGGTGAAGGTCCTGTGTGAGTGTCTGGAGGATGGATGGTGGCTAACAGATTGAGGTTGAATCCTGACAAGACAGAAGTACTTTTTGGGGGGGACAGAAGGCAGTCAGGTGTGGAGGACTTCCTGGTCCTGAATGGGGTAACTGTGCCCCTGAAGGACCAGATGTGCAGCTTGGGAGTCATTTTGGACTCACAGCTGTCCATGGAGGCGTAGGTCGATTCCGTGTCCAGGGCAGCTATTTACCAGCTCCATCTGGTATGCAGGCTGAGACCCTACCTGCCTGCAGACTGTCTCGCCAGAGTGGTGCATGCTCTAGTTATCTCTTGCTTGGACTACTGCAATGTGCTCTTTGTGGGGCTACCTTTGAAGGTGACCCGGAAACTACAACTAATCCAGAATGCAGCAGACGAGACCACATAACACCAGTCTTGAAAGACCTACATTGGCTCCCAGTACATTTCCGAGCACAATTCAAAGTATTGGTGCTGACCTTTAAAGCCCTATACAGTCTCCGTCCAGTATACCTGAAGGAGCGTCTCCACCCCCATTCATTCTGACCGGACACTGAGGTCCAGT